CAGGGAGCTAATTGCTTCCCTGTAAACAACTTCTCTGTAGAACATGCTAAAACGTACTTGCGGTGTGCTCTAGTGTCAGAGCCTTTGGTAATGAAATACTCCTGCTTCTAATTGCCATGATGCGTTTTCAATAGTCATTAACAACATTACTGAGCCATCTAAATTGCGGTGCTCAAAATGAGCCAGTTATAAGTAGGCCTAACTGGGCAATCCAAACCAAATCTCCTCTTTCAAAGCCATAATTTAGAGAAGAACAAACCCTTCTGATATATAAACAAAATTGTGATGTACAGTTATAATATTTCTCTTCGCATTTGTATCCTGTCCTTGCCTAAGGACCTCAGGCAACCTAATTTTATCCTCACAAAAACCTCTATGAAAAAGGTTTGGGTGATTGCAACCTGTCAAAAGAATGGCTGAAGGATTGAAACCAGGGATGGGGAATCTGAGGTCTACCAGATGCTGCTGGATTTCAACTCCCATCAGGGGAGCCAGCAGGGTGAGTGGTCAGCGACGAGGGGAGCTGGAGTCCAAAAACATCTAGGGGGAGGTCACAAATCCCCCATCCCTAATTTACAGCCAAACCTCTTCAACTGAAGAGAAGACCCAAAATTCAATTCAACCTGTTCCACTTCACGAGCTGTGGCTAACTTGTGGGTCTCTGTACAATGAGCCCATGAAGACAACATTTTAGTGCACATCAGCAGTTGAAGCATGGTGGAATTCCCCTTACCACTTGGAAGGATCTTAAAGGCACTCAAGATACCTGGATGGTATACCTGTGGGTATAGGGTGGGATACAAATTTAATAAATAATGATGATGATGAGCATCAGGCGCCTGAAAGTTATAAGACTTCGAATGGCCTGGGAGCAACCTCAGAGGCAATGGCAAGTTGTTGTTGTTGTTGTTCCCCTCTACCCATCTGCAGCCTTAAATCTCTTTAAAACTGAATGATATTGGTAATGCACTCCTATACACATCTTTTCAGAACAGCTTATTGCTAGGTAAGTGTGCATACTATTGGAGCCTTAACTGACCTTGGCCCAGGTTGCTCACACTTAACTGGATATTAGATGGTTTCTCTTTCGTTGCTTCAGCACATTGCGGGGCACCACCTCTAAAATGAAGCCCCCACAGAGCAACTCAGTCCTTGTTCCTCTTGTCCTGCATCATCCATCAATCACTCAGCCAGCCTGTCACTAGAAGAGTTCAATTTCATAGCAGAATAACAGATGTTATTTTTTCCCCTCTGGTTTTAAATCTTTTCGAGGCTGAAAGGGCTAATTGTCAAATGAAAAACTCTCAGCGCTGCCTGGTCATGACATTCTGTAATGAATCGGAACTAATCTATGTCTGAATCGGCTTCTTTACCTTTCTGGAATCAGTGCAAAAGCAGGCCATGAACATATACAGGCTCGCAATGTGGAGATACAGTTTTCTTCCATTTGTAAAAACCTTTACATCATTATTTACTACTACTGAAACTACTACAACTACTATCATTATCACAACCAATATTCTGCTCTTCCTCCTGAAGGTTCTCTAAGCAACTTAAACAACCTTGACAGATTAGAGAACTGGGCAAAAACAAACAAGATGAATTTGAACAGGGAGAAATGTAAAGTATTGCACTTGGGCAAAAAAAATGAGAGGCACAAATACAAGATGGGTGACACCTTGAGAGCAGTACATGTGAAAAGGATCTAGGAGTCTTGGTCGACCACAAACTTGACATGAGCCAACAGTGTGACGCGGCAGCTAAAAAAGCCAATGTAATTCTGGGCTGCATCAATAGGAGTATAGCATCTAGATCAAGGGAAGTAATAGTGCCACTGTATTCTGCTCTGGTCAGACCTCACCTGGAGTACTGTGTCCAGTTCTGGGCACCACAGTTCAAGAAGGACACTGACAAACTGGAACGTGTCCAGAGGAGGGCAACCAAAATGGTCAAAGGCCTGGAAACGATGCCTTATGAGGAACGGCTAAGGGAGCTGGGCATGTTTAGCCTGGAGAAGAGGAGGTTAAGGGGTGATATGATAGCCATGTTCAAATATATAAAAGGATGTCACATAGAGGAGGGAGAAAGGTTGTTTTCTGCTGCTCCAGAGAAGCGGACACGGAGCAATGGATCCAAACTACAAGAAAGAAGATTCCACCTAAGCATTAGGAAGAACTTCCTGACAGTAAGAGCTGTTCGACAGTGGAATTTGCTGCCAAGGAGTGTGGTGGAGTCTCCTTCTTTGGAGGTCTTTAAGCAGAGGCTTGACAACCATATGTCAGGAGTGCTCTGATGGTGTTTCCTGCTTGGCAGGGGGTTGGACTCGAGGGCCCTTGTGGTCTCTTCCAACTCTATGATTCTATGATTCTATGAACCTGGGGACATGCTACCAGAAGGCTCTTTCTCTCCTATACGTAGCTGCCTGGATCCCAATATTTTCTTGGGGTGCCCTTCTCCAAGTTCCCCCAATTAATTGTGGCAGATGGTTGCCAGGAAGTGTGGTGGTGCCTGATCTATGCAATCCCAGGGAGGATTATCTGGTTTCCACACTATGGTCTTTAAGGTTCCAGGTGAATACCTCCTTGTCCTTCTTGTCACTACAACCCATCAGGTGCCTCAGTTTTTGCACCAAGCACTCCCTTGCTGGTTTAAACTGTTTTACCAGCTGTGCATTTTATGCTGATTTTATGTCTTGCCGGGCACACATGCATGCATGCACACTCTCACACACACCCCATGACGTAGAATCAGCATAAAACACATGTGTATATATAGCTACATAGAAAGATTTGTTTTATTCTGGTTTTAGCATTTTGTTGTGGCTTGTATCTTTTATGTCTCTGGCAACCACACGCAGAACTTGCTTGCAGGGGTGGTATGCAAAGAAAACAAACAAACAAATGGATAAATTTGATGAGACCAGGGAGGATGGAAGTCAGGATCAGGAATAAAGAACTTCAGAACTCTGTATTGAGCTACCTCCTCCTGGAATTCTATCACACGTCTGACCATTATGCCTCATTTCTTCCATTGCGTTGGAGGGGGTCCAACTCTGTGTTTCATTCACCTGAAAACTAAAGATCAGCTGAAGCAACTGTAAGAGCATGGCAGTCTATGTACATATCACTATGGAATGCCCTGTCTGATGACTTTCACTTGGCACCATCTCTCTGGAGATTAAAAAGTGACTCTCCTGTGTTTTTAAGTTTTTGAGTACCCTGGATGGGTGCATATGAAACGGCTGCTTTTCTGAAGGCAACTGACTCCCTCCCTCTTTTATATAAGTTGTTATTTAGGGTGGGCACCTAATTCATCACCAAAAAAGAGGAAATTTCCTAACATTTGCTAATTTATGTGTATTATATATATACACACACACATATGATAGAGAGAAGTATACACAAATTTGGATATAACTACTATAATACAAATAGAAACACATCTTGTCATACTGACCATAGGCTGCTACAGTCCCTCCCCCCAATTGCTGAGCTATTTTTGTGGCACATAACAGCACAAACGACCTTCAAGTAAGCCATTTTGGCAGTTTATACAGCCTTAGCGTCTCCTCTTGATGATGACAGACTGTGTGGAGATCCCTTGCCACCTGTCATCATTAATAGGTTTTTCTATAGCGTTGGTGGCAGATATTTCACACGAATCTATTTCTGCCCCTAAAACTGTGGAAATGTATGTATTTCTAGCAATATCTGAGAAGTATTTTCTGCACAACGACATTGCAGAGGTGTTTTTTTTTAAAAAAATCTCTGCTCGTGTATTTAGACTGCCATACACACACACCATTACTAAGGGATACAATGGTTGGTGGTGTCAAAAGCCACCAAGAGGTCCAGGAGAATTGGTCGGACTACAGTCCTCTGTCTTTCTTCTGACACAGGCCAGCCATCAGGGATGTGCAATCTCTTTTGTCTAATTCCTAATTGCTTTGTCACTCCAGATTCTGGGTAAACTAAGGAGCTGGGTTGAACCAGGCTCCATACAGTGGAAAAGAGTAGTTGGGAACTGTTGTGTCAGTGCCTACAATAATCTCAGTATCCCACAGAGAATCAAGGGCTTTATCAGGAACATGTCTACTGCAAACTCCTAGACAACTCTGAGAATCAATCTTTCCAGATAAGTCCACTACTCCTTTGGAAGGAAGTGGCCACTGTGAGTTTTAAATCTCACCAGGGAATGTTCTGACCACAAAAAATGAATCAAGAAAAAATCACCCATTCTCAAATCACCATCTTCCTGCTCAGACCCAAAGTGTGGGCAAGTCTATGGCTGCCATTAAAGCTATGAAGTCTTGGGACACCCATGGCAAGGCAGTCCTAGAATGAATGTTGAGGTTCTCCAGAACCATAAACCTAGATGTGCTTGGAGAGACGCACGCTCATCACCCACAAATCAACTGAAGATTAATCAACACAGCCAAAACTTTCCCATCACCCAGGGTTCAAACTAATGAAACACCTTTCAACAAAGATGGGTCACATATTCAGCTTGGGTCATACTTGCTGTGCTCTCGCCTACAGATGTGGAAGGAAGGAAGCAGTGGGATACTGGCAAGCACCAACTGAGCTCTGCAGTCATCTAACAGCATGTGGATGTGCTCCCCGTATGCACAGTTGGGGGACCTTAATGGTCCAGAGATCCTTTCACAGCAAAGAACCTATGCGCGTACAGTTCTAGACATGTAAAGCTTTGCTCACACCTAACATTGACCAAGCACAAGTGAAGCCAGCAGGTGAGATCCCCCTTCACTTTCGGAGAAAATGTTTTGGAGTGAACAGAGCTGAAGCATTGGCTAATCAAGTGATGAAGGGAGCTGCATGCTAGCCACGCCAGTTCGTCAAGAGGATTGTCCTCTATTGGACTGTGTCCTCTATCTGGAGGGCTAAGTCTGGTTTAAAGATGAATAAGCCATCAAAAGAGAGCTTTCAGGGGCCTTGAAGTTGTATGACCAGATCACTGTGTGACCAGTTGTCTGCCACACAGTGGTAGCTCAGTTGGTTAGAGCATGGTGCTGATACAGTGGTACCTCGGGTTAAGTACTTAATTCATTCTGGAGGTCTGTTCTTAACCTGAAACTGTTCTTAACCTGAAGCACCACTTTAGCTAATGGGGCCTCCTGCTGCTGCCGCGCCGCCAGAGCACAATTTCTGTTCTCATCCTGAAGCAAAGTTCTTAACCCAAGGTACTATTTCTGGGTTAGCGTAGTGTGTAACCAGAAGCGTATGTAACCCGAGGTACCACTGTAATGCCAAGGTTGCAGGTTTGATCCTCGTAAGGAACAACTGCATATTCCTGCATTGCAGGGGATTGGACCAGGTGAGCCTCAGGATCCCTTCCAACTCTACAATTCTGTGATTCATAGTCAGCACCTGGACAGCAGACTGAGGAGCAGAAATGTCACCTGACCTCAGCCTTCTCCACCATCGTAAGATGAATCGTATTTCTATTTAAAGTGATTATTTCTAAATAATGTATTAAACCCCAAATATCCAAGAGACTGCCTTCTTCCCTACAGAACCTTTTGGCTGTTATTAAGGGTGGGGGTGGGGCTGGTAGTTCTGCTGCCCTAAGAGGTTCAGTAGTGGTGGCGGCCTGGGAGAGTGCCTTCTTAGTGGCAGCCCCTAAGCCATGGAACTCCTTCCCCACAGAGATGTGTCTGGCACCATCACTGCACAGCTTCCAACTGATGCTGAAGACACTCCTCTTTGTTCTGGCTTTTGATACCAGAGCTTTGCATTTTTAGGACCTATCCTATTACTGGGACTGTTATGGGTTTTAACTTCTTTTAATACTGAGTTTTAAATGGCTGTAACTTGCCCTAGGCCCTGCCGGTGCAGTAATAAGTATCATCACCATCACTTTTCAAATGCAAATGTGCATAATCTTTTGTCTCCTTTTGTGGTGAAGTCTTTGCTTTTTTGCTTTTTTCTGGCAACACATAAGTGGCCACTCCAACACCATCCCTTGTACTGGGGTTTAGTTTGCACTTTTTAATGTTTGTAGAGGCAATCTGGAGTGCAGGTATTAAGCATACCCAAGCCAACCCGTAGGAGGACTTTAATCCAATCTGCCAACTGGTGCCTATGTTCCCGAGCACAGAGCTGACATGCCAAGCAATTACAAAAGCTTTCTTTTTTTGCTGCTCGGCCACCTGTCCCTCACAGCACCAAGTTAGCTCCACTGGAGTCAAACTATTGGCAGTGACAGAGTGACTAAAAGGTGAAGCGCTTTCTTTCTTTTTTATTACTCCTTTTCTTTTTTCTTCGAATAAATTAGGGCAGCTGCAAAGAAAGCAACAACACCTTAAGGGTCCTTAACAGAGTTTGCCGTGCCTGCTTGCTTCACGAAGGCTGCTTCGCTTCATGTACAGTACATTGGCTCAATGCTCTGGCCCCCTTCAGACAACTGATGGCACCCACTTGAGTCATGGGTGGGAGGGTTCAGGGGTCACACTGTGCTTGCAAGTATGGGTGATCTAAATCAGGGGTGCCCAAACGTTTTTCAAAGAGGGCCGGATTTGATGAAGTGAATATGTGTGAGGGCCACCCGAAGTTGTTGATTTATTTTTTTTTAGGATTTTACTCCAAAGTTGTCAAGCTTTTTTTTTATATACAATTTTACCCCAAAATGTGCAAATCACAGTGGCCCACATGCCTAGGAGGCATTGTCTGATAAAACAAATAGGTTATGTATAATGAAATGAAGAAAACGTTTAAATGGGCTATTCCTAAAAGGCCAGAAGTTTTCCTTATAGGAATACAGTGGTACCTCGGGTTACAAACACTTTGGGTTACAAACTCTGCTAACCTGGAAGTAGCACCTCGGGTTGAGAACTTTGCCGCAGGATGGGAACGGAAATTGCGCACTGGTGGCGCAGCGGCAGCAGCGGGAGGCCCCATGAGCGAAAGCGCACCTCAGGTTAAGAACCGTTTCGGGTTAATAACGGACCTCCAGAATGAATTAAGATCATAACCTGAGGTACCACTGTATGTATGAACTCCATCCAGGGTTGGTAGATTTTCATATTGTTAATTTACTTACTTCATATATTTATATACTGCTTAATACTCAAGTCAGTCTCTGTGTGGTTTGCAAAATAGCAAATAAAATATGTATATATAGCAAACAATGAAACAGAGAAACTACAATGCCATAGCAATGCAATGTTAAGCAAAACTACAATAAAACAATAAGACACTGCCCCAATAAAGCAGCATGTTTTGAATATTTATGGTCAGCTGTTGCTAAGCAAACAAAGCGAAGTATGGGGGCAATGCGTGTTTGCCCTTGAAGAAGGCAGAAAAGAGAATTTGCTTTACTCTGAGATGGGCAAAGAATGTCTAGACATAAGTCAAGCAAAATAGCTAATGCAAAGATGTGGCCTGCTTTTGAAGGCTGAGCTCTCTCACAACAGAGCTAAACTAGCTGTTATTTGTTAGCCTAATACATAAGTGATCATAGTAAAGGACAAGAACTCAGTGTTTAACCGTGGTAAAAGCAAGCTGGATATAAGAGATGAATAATTAGAGATGAATATCTGCATTTCCCATTGGCTATAGATTGCAGCTTTTGATCACACATATTATCCAATCTAAACAGAAAAATTCAGCCATGAATTTTGAGGAATGGCCAGAAGGTAGATCAGGAACTACTGCTAGATCTCTAAGTGATTTGCAGTAGAAAGGGTTTTCCCCCATTCCCTGACAGTGCCAATATACTGAGAACTGAACAGAATATTGCTCCAAAACTACCTGTTTTAAAATATAGAACAATAAAATAAGGTGATGTTGATGTATCGTTCCTCACCTTTCAAAGGCAAGCAGCACCTTCTACACAGTGATTAAAGGCATAGATGCTTTACATCTGGTCACTTAATTTAATCACAGGGTGTGGCATAGCTTAGCCGTAGTTCCTAAATCAATCCTTCCCCAGCCAATAATTGGGCTGGTTCTAATTACAGCAACAATTAATTTCCTCCATGTTTTTCAGCAATATGCAGTCACATCGCATTAACCAGAAAACAGATAACTTCTATTGTAGCAGCCCTAAAAGTCTCAGTGCATTATGTATGTTCCCGCAGAAATCTTGAATTTCTTAAGTTATTCAATTGTACTTTAGCTAGCTAACACCACCATAATGGACTGCTAAATTAGAAACAAAGAACAAATAGCTTTATGGAAGATCTGGGCAATTCTTTATCTCTGTCACACCATTACAGCTTTAGCCATTCATAATAAAAGCAATTAAGTATTCTCTGTTTAATATCTCACTGTTGTCACTCAGCAAAGCCACTTTCCCCTTCATTTAGTTTCTGGTGTTCCTTTTATTACCAATTACACAAACTGCAGTGGTTAATTTAGATTACCATAAGGCCTTGCACAGCACTATACAGTGCTTACAAGTTATTAAGATCTAGACACTCAAGAAGCCCATGGATCTTTGTACGCGGCGTTAGAAGGTCTCTGTTTGCCCAGACAGTTTAAAATTCAATCTGCAATCTATAAATTATCCAGTTAGAAGTCAAGGCACAAAACCTGGCTCAAAACAAAACAAACCCTTCCTACTGTACACAAACATTGGAGAGTCCTTTGGCAAAAGGTGCTGCAGTCATGCAACTTATCACAATTAGGTGGGTTGAGCGTGCCCACCAAGACACAGAAGTCTTAGTTCAGGAAACACTGTAACACTGTCTCTGGAGAATCCATCTTTGTAATAGAGAGTGCCAAAAATCCGGGAATGGCTTCGAATAGTGCAGGAATTGACTGCGCTCTTACTCTAAAACGAGCTGCCAAGTCTCCACAAAAGACAATGCTGTTGGATTAAATTCTAAACACTTCACATTCCCATTACCTACTTGCCTGAATTGACAGCCAAAACAGGAGACGGGTAGAACATTACTTCTTTCAAACTTTCTTCTAGTGCACAATGATGGGTGCATGTGTCATCCTCATTACTGACTTTCAAGAGGAATTTAGAAACATTCCTTTTTGCCCGGACATTTGCTGGCTGAAATGCAGTGTTCCTGGAAACCTTAAAATCCTTGCCTGAGAGAATGCGATTGTTTTAAGCAGTTTTTGGAATGCTTTTAATGCTATTGTTACTGAAGTGGTTTGCTGCTTGGGGCTCCTTTGGGAGGGAGGGAGGAATACAAATGGAAATGACGATGGCAACAATGGAGCTAAGTTAGAGCAATATTTATCATTCTAAAACCAACACCTGAAGGATAGGAATCTTCACTTTCCTTCTTCAAAATATTCATTTCTTTAAGAAATAGGATTCCATTCAGATAGACGGGGACTACGAGCATTAAATATGAATGCAGATGTGGGAGAAATGCAATGAAAGAGTCCTAAGGCACCAAATAGTAATTGTTTTATTGCAGCATCAGCTTCGGGGGCATCAAGTGGCCTTACCAAGTGGGAAGACAACGAAAGTGATATGGGATAATGTGGTGCAGAGAAACAGGGAAGATATTATGGAAGAGAATCAAGGGAGAAAATCCACTCCACCCACAAGACAGTTCCTCAAATAAAATAATCAGAGCTCTTGCTACTTAGTGCTTGGTTTTGTTTATTTGTTTATTTATTATTATTTAATTGGTTCCATCAACCAATTAAATTAGCAAATGAACAAATCAGTAGTTGTATGCATGTGTGTGACAGGAAGTATCATCTCAGAAAAGGCATTCCTTTTTTAAAAAAAATGGGGCTTGCCACCTGCCATGCTCATAAACACCTTCATTAAAAAAAATGTTTTTTAACCCTCTTGCAAAATTAAACAAAGCCTCTTTTAGTCAACCCAAATTTTAACTGATTCATCTATTAAATCACCTACAAAAATGACCACTAACAGGTAAAGAATATTTAAAAGATTTATTTTTTAAAAAACTGCAAAAATTAAAAAGATCAGGTAGAACTTAAATCATTTTCAGGAACTGACAGGTGTAAAATCTCTGAGCATGAAAAGGATGCTCTTTAAACAAAACAAAACAAAACAAAACAAAACAAAACAACACCTGTGAGTGGGCAACCATTTGAGATAAGGGGAAAAGCTTCCACATCAAAGCAGGTGATTCCAGGTAGACTTGCACCACCTCATCACTTTAGTTACCAATTAATTCCTGGCTGGTTCCTGCATGTCCTAAAGATTGGGGTACTTTAAATGAAAGATAGTGAATGGATTTTATATATATATAAATCCATGCCTGTCTGTCAAAGCAGCCAAAGAGAAACCAACTTGAAGAATTATACTTGGGCTTCTATATCCCACTGAGATGATGAG